GCCATGAATCGACGGATATTGCGTGTCAGTGAGTTTTTACAAGAAAGCGCGTGATCAATCGGATGATTCGCAAAAAGTTGGGGGCTATGACACAGCAAGAATGGTGAGTAAATGCAAGCCAACGCCATTGGCGGGTCCGAGGGAGGGGGGTGATAAAGTATGCGATGTCCGGACTACCAGGAGAAGGGAAAGGAGGAGCGGGGGAGGTGGAGGAGTTCCCCTCCCTTCTCCCTCTCTTCCAAAAAGCCGCCCTGGATCCGTCTGTGATCAACGCAGAACAGCCTGTCATAGCAGCACCCGACACATAGCTACATTTAAGTAAAGCTGGAACACCATTCAAGTCGACAGTCCGAGCAGTTTTGCCCAGGAAATTGTAATATAATAGCACAGTGATCAAAAAACTTCAAAATTTAGGCGGGCATGGACAGGATTTAGAAAACCACTCTAAATAAGGACCTGAGGTGATACTAGATCGTGAAATAGGTCATGTAACTTCTACGTAACACCATCACGTCAGGTCGCAGCATAAATAGAGTTTTCGATATTACTTTGACGAAAATACAGCTCGTCAAGCATAGCCTTATGTGGACCTGAGGTAATACCTAGACCAAGAAATAGGCCACTTAACTTTCACATAAAACCAACACGTCTGGTCACATCATCAATGAAATTTTCGATATTTTTTTTGATGAAACCAAAGGTCGTCAAAAGTAGCCTTCATTTAGTCTACACGCTTGCATCTGATTTATTAGTTCTATTACTCAATCAAAACGAGAGAGCTGTGATCTCACGCAATGCTTTACGGTGTTCGCCAGAAAGAACTTTCTTTATAATCTTAACACCATTTAATGATTTCGAGGTTTCTGCTGCCAAGCCTAAAGCTATTTTTTTATTTCACTAACACTCACCGTCGCAGTTTTACCGCCCTCAACACTGCAGACCGCGAATTCTTGTCCGCCCTCTTTTTCCACTGCATCGCTTGCCCGTTGCCTTTTAATCGATTCCAGGACCTTCGCTGCCTGTAACTGAGACTTCTGAGCAGTAAAAAGAATAAATGGCAACGCGCACCAGGCTAGCCGGTGCGATCATGCGTTTTGTGCAATTCAGC